ATAGCATGCGGATTTTCATTTGCCCATACATGTAAATTATGGGCATTGAAGCATCCTTGTCTGGCAAAAATTGACTCATCCGAAAACATAATGTTAGAAACAAAATTTGGCTGGAGATTTTCTTGCTCCAGCAACCACAGGCAGAATTCGACTCTAGCGGGATAATCTTCCGGCTGAAGGTGCTGCACTCGGGTAAAATGAAAAGGGTGTTGCCGATCGTTCTTCATAACCCGCTGAACTGTGGAGCGGGAAATATCCAGTTCTCGAGCAACTTCCCTTATGCTCTTCCTACTATTTTCCTCAAACGCATTCAAAACAGCTTCTTCATTTTCCACTGTTCTAATACGTTTGGGAGCACCTCCAATCCCCTTACGAAGCGGAACAACTTGACCGGTCTCTCGGGTTCTTGTGATAGTTATAAGGATTACTTTACTGTCCAGGGGACGATCAGGAAAGCGCTGTGAAAAAACTCTCGCTGTCTCCCTGGCGTTGCGCCCACTTTTCCCATAAATAATTATCATTTCGGTATAATCATGCGGAAAACATTATTTATAATAACTTAATTTATAACTGTGTTATAACCAAATATAATATTAATGACAGAAGTAAAGATTGACAGCAGTGTTACAATGAATTGGATTCCAGTGGACCAAATATTTTACATATTTTTTATTATCAACAATGCAACCTAAGTATCCTAGCAATTTAAAGAATTCCCTGTGGTGATCTATTGGGATTGGCTATCGTTTTTTATTCTTATCTCCCTTATCCTTTGCGTTGGACAATTTGAATTTTTAAATATGTGTTTCAAATTACTTTCGGTACGTTCCCTTTTTCTCTGTGGCGCGAGTTCTGGGAGTTTTAAAGTGGCTTATTTCAGAAATTTTGACCCCAAAGAAAGAATTTCAGAAGTGGTCAAGTTAAACTCCCTAAAAATACCCTATATGCGAAATATGTGAGTTTTAACAAATTTGAGTGTTGCTTTGAAGGCGATAGTACCTACATATGAATAAAATTATTTGCAAAAATAGTTATTTATATCATAAGGCTGAGAAGTGAGCTAAAAATACCCTATATGCGAAATATGTGAGTTTTAACAAATTTGAGTGTTGCTTTGAAGGCGATAGTACCTACATATGAATACAATTATTTGCAAAAATATTCGCTATATTTTGAATAGATGATCTTGTTTCCGTTTTTAATAGGAGGCTATTATCTTCCTTTTGCGCACGTGTAGTTCAAAGGTGGGAGAATAAAAAATCAATAATGTTTGTTGGTTATAAATAAATACAAATGTCAGTTTAGGAATTGAGGTTATATCAAAAAAATATTAGAAAACTACTGTAGTTTTAAAATGCGAAGAGGGGCATAAAAACATTAGGTACTTTGTCAGAAAAATTATAAAAGCTTAATTTGCAAAATACAGAGGATAATAATATGACTTTAATTCAGTTTATATATTCTTTAAACTTTGAGCTCAGGACAAAAATATTTACTTCTCAGCCTTATGATATAATAGTAGATTATGTCATAAGGAGTAGAAGTGACTCTTTTTGTGGTGAGTACAGAGATTGACCGCCGAAGCGTAGCTGAGGCAGGCAACTGTACGAAGCCCAAAAAGAGCTTCTACTCCAAATAATATATACTATTTTTTTAAGGGCGTAATATAAATAGGATAAGCAATAGAATTATTTTATTTACTTAAATTTACCTAGATTAAATTTACAATTACACGCACTGCGGCTCTTCAATTAAATCACTCATGTGGGACAAAATTTTGGATAAAAGCATTAGAAATTATTAATAAAAACTAAAAAAACTTATAACCCTTACTTACAATGCCGATAAATATCCTAAACTAAAAATAAACACTGCTCTGTCAAAATGCTCCGCTTGATTTAATTTTGACGTACTGACATTTGTTTGGAGTTTCGACATTGGCGACTCGTCTGTCATCATAATATTATACTAATAAAGTAGTTGTTCTTTATTTCCTTCAATTAAAATTTAATAAATAATCACTAAATATTCCGATTATAATTAATATAATTAATACATCGTGATTGCTTTATATAAAATGTTAAATTAATTATATTATTTGACATTTATTAAGTCACCTATGGATTTACTTCTATCCCTAGGCTTTTTTAAGTTTTTTGTCTGCCGCTAATGAAAAAGATGCACTTTAACTATCTCTATACATGCATATAAGGTTGTATATCATGGCCGATTGAAAAAAAATTACTATTTTTGCAAATAATTTTATTCATATGTAGATATATCTACTATCGCGTTAAACACCCTTCAAATCAACACTCAAATTTGTTAAAACTCGCATATGGGGTACTTTTAGGGAGTTTAGCTTGACCCCTTCACACAAAAAATGTTTTTTTAAGAAACCCCACCTATGTAAGGGCCAGTATAGAATTGGTTGTGTGGATTAAGGGATTCGTTGAATTAGTTCTGTTGAAGTGTTTTAAAAAAGTAAAGTTTTGCTGTAAAAGTTATTATTTTTTGGTCAAGAATTGGGAATGAGATAATTTTATGGTATTGTATTTATTTGTAATAATTCAAACCATGAGATTAAAAATATTGAGGGTGTGGATGGTGCCTTAATTAATTCAAAATTTGAATTCGGTTATTTTTGGGAATACTTGGTGAGGAGCGCGGGATGTGTTATTTAAAGTTGGTTCATGAGAAGTAAATAATTATTTTAATTAAGTCTGTTAACACATTAAAATAAATGGTCTTACCAGACTGGGGGGGATAGTTGTAACGGTATGAGCACCGTAGCCATAATAATTTTAAGTTTTAAACTCTAAAGGTATTTAATTTCGCCTAATGCCATCTTGATTGCCTTCACTGTTCAAAATTTCATGACCATTTTAACACCAAATTAACACCAAACATGGTCTATATCGATACAAACCAAAATGGTGTTAAATAAGGTCCGTTGGCCGGTGTAAATTCAAATACTAAAATGGTGTTAATTTAACTTTCACACAGTATTAAAATAAATTTTACTTGGTGTAAATTGAACTCCTTTTCGGTGTTAAATATTATGTGTTTGTGGACAAATTAAATCATACTACACAGAAAAAAGAAAAAAAAAGAAAACAGGAAGTTCCTTGACGCATTACTAGTATATTACCAGTGGTATTATTCCAGAAAATGGAACCTTCAACTCGCTAGAGATAATGTTTTTAGTGCGTTGCACTAACTTAAAATACTTTAAGTATTGACAGCTGTTTCCACCTATTTAAGGTCTCTTTAGTATCGAACAACTTGTAGTGTCACACTAAAGCAAAGGATTACCTAAGTTTATATATTCTTCATGTAGGTCAACAGACGCGAGATTTAAGAACATCACGTGATCCACACCGCCTTTGCCGCGATCGGTACACATTTTCAACCATAATTTATGGTGTTATATTAACACCACTTGGTGTTGGATTTTGACACCATTTTAAGATTACTTTTTACACCACAGATATTTTAAACAGTGTAACATCCGCTGTTTCATACTGTAGATAATTTTTTTACGAATTTGACAGAGCGATCTTCTTGCGCCTTCTGCGTGTTACTTTACTTTGTTGAAACTTTATAATTCTTGGGCATCCTCTGTATTTTTCGTAATATTTTATTTATATTTAAAAATCCATAATCTGGTGCTTTAGGTAGGTTAAATATTTTGAGAATGGCATTATTTTTGACTAACTGATTAATATATTTAGAATTGGATTTACGTTTCAAACTAAGTCAAGTTTGATATATCCATCTCGTCTTGCTGGCTGGTTTACGGGCTCTTCCTGGAATTACTACTGTTGCATAATTAAAGAAACGCCACTAAAACCTATTGTTTTCTTTATAACTACCAATACACCCCTGAGATCACTTATTGGCGCCTCAAAGTGTTACGCTACAATATCTGAATGAAATAAAGATTTGCACCATTGATTCATCGAGATTATTAGCCCTTGCTCTCTTGAAATTCATAAAGTTTTGACGTATCCCCACAAGAAAAAATCACACAGTGTGAAATCCGTTAATCTTGGAGGCCAAAGAATACCGAAACGACCTATCAATTATCAATTTATAAGAGGGTTGTACTCATGTTTGCATAAAGTCTTTAAAACCGTATACTTAGAAATATCAAACTGAGTAGCAAGTTATCTGGTAGATTTTGTAGGGACTTGCACAAATTAAAATGTCCCCTGCTTTTCAATCGTCAATTATTCTCTGGATTGTAGTTCACTAAGCATAGGCCTATTTTGAAACATATTTTGTATTTGACAATACGATTAACCAGTGGGTAAAACCATTTTGTTTAAAAAAATACTTTTTGTAACAAAGACGAGTTAGGTTTCAGTGAGTTTCTCAGACTGCAGCGAGAGGGTTGTACTAGACTCTCTTTCTAGCACTGGCTGCACCTATAGATAATTATAGTATTATTCTTACAACAATTGTAGTTCTTTATATGTCCATGATATTATGTTTCTAGTTTAGAACTATATTTGTAATTAATCTACATCGATTGGGCCCATCCTCTCATCCCTGACACTTATCCCCCAAGGTCAGAATTTGATTTTTTTTCTTCTGTCTTTTTAACAATTTAATTTTTTTGATTGGTACTCTACATACCGCACAGTATTTTCGCGAGTGGCCTATGTTACCACTATAATTAACATTATATATATAATATTTTTCTGACAGGAATTTTTCTAGTAATTAAGCATTTTAGTCTAAAAAACTTTTCAACAGGCAAAGTTAAATATTATTAATGTTTGTTGTAACGTAATGCACGATACAGACCCCCTTTCCCATGTTACACTTCATCACAAACGGTAAACCCCATCCCCCCGAAGTGTTTGACCTACTAAATGGAAAGCCTATTTCTAGTTTTTTTCATTTAATTTATTACTATTATTTAGTTTTATACGATATTAAGATAATAATTTATATCAGTATCAGTATCAGCAGTGCTGTGGTTAAAGTGATAACTAATTGTAATTATTCGTTCGAACAGGTACAGTACGAGTGGGGCCACTTTTACTTTCATATTAAACAAGCTTGACACACTTAAACTCTTTTAATATATCAGTTCGCAAACAAATAATACTGGATTTTTAAATATTGATATTTTAAGTGGTTAATATTGTGAGTGAAAGTTTCTTGCCCATAGAATACAAGTAAGTAAATTATAATACAGCTTTTATTGTAAACAAACACAATAACAAACGTATTTGTGTACATCTAATGTCAAGATTTATATTATAACTAAAGAATGACATTGGCTTTGTTTAGGTATTCGTATGTAGAATTATTTAAAGAAATATAATGAAAACTGAATTTTTGTGCTAAATTTATTGATTTTAAAATTTACACACAAAAATGCAGTATTCTATATTGTTAACTGGCATTTTTGGTATTGTTGCATATGTACACTAAAAAAAACAATTTTAGAATGACTGTATTGGCTCCTTTTGAAAAATATGGTGATGATATATATACAGACAAAACTGGTATTAAATATAACCTTCAAGATTTAGGTATAGATGAATTTTTTATAAATTTTATTGGACAAGATATAAAAATATATAAAAAACATATAGACTGCAACGAAGTAAGTACGTTATTTGTCATAAAATATACATATGTTATTAAGGACTTGTAAGGTTGCTTTTAAAAGTAAATCTTGTTTTTATATCATTACTACAATAAGTTATACATTATATATTCACCTAAATATTAATTAATCATTGCATGTTGTTAGGTCAGGTCAGGATAAAACTGATTATAGAAGCCATTCAATTTAATTAATTTAATTTAACTACATATATTATAAATACAATATATTTTTTTTTACTTCCACCTTTAAAACGCCCATTATCATTGATGTTTCCATGACAATTGTGGCTTTACGGGGGTTTAGTCACGGGCTGAAGTTAGTTTTAAGTTACTTGACAATTATTAAATGTAATACAATCGTAAAAATTAAGTGCCCTGCCTGTAAAAAATACTAATTGTAAAAATTATTTTATTATCTAAATATAAAAATACAAAAGTATTTAATAGTTTCTCAACGCAAATATTTAAAAAGTTTATATTTAGTTTTACTGATCTTTTGTTTTCGACGGCAGTACACTAGATTTAACTGATTTCGGGTGGATGTTACACCGTGGAGTGCCTATAAAACATGATCTTTACTTTCACTTTAGATAGTCCATTTTTAAGCGGTAAATTTCAAATTAGGTACACGTAAAAATTTGACATTTTGACCTGAGCGCCGCGGAGCGCCGGTACAAATATTTATCTGGTGGCGCATTATTGAACTTTGTTTGTCAACAACACATTTAAAGAACATGAACTGCACATAATTTTTAAATAAATAAAAATAGGAAGGCAGAAGACTTACTCGACAAGTTTTGTTCAATTGCACAGCTAAATTCAGCACGTTATTTGTGTTTTGAGTTGCAAGTAATAACTAAAAAAACTTTGTTTTGTACTCGATTTAGATTTATTATTCCTGATCATTGATTAAGAAACTCAACGCTTATATGCTTATATACATTGTTACGTTAGGTGTGTATGTGTATGTGTATAATAAAATTCAAGAACTAAATCCTTGCATTTTCATGTTTGGTCGAAGGATCTCCGCTTTAGTTACAGGTTGAAGTTAGCTTTAAGTTAGTTGACAGTTGTAAAATGTTATACAATCTACAATCCACACAAGGTTCTATCTCGTACTAAAAATACTAAAAATTACTGCAACACTGCACATAGTTTAACGCGGCCATTTTTGTTGTTTACAATTTTTATGCTTTGGATTTGTGGTCTGTTTATACATATTAATAATCGTTTGAAACGTTGTGTTTCTTACAGAGGCACTAGTAAGCCTTAAAAGAGGCGAAAGTGCGAAAAACAATCATTTTACTCCTGTTAATTCTATCAGGGATGTGATCAAACTGTCAAATGTCAATTTTAAGGTTAATTTATAACCCACAAATTAACCTTCAAATGGACATTTGACAGCCCAGATAGAATAAGGTATATTTTTTATAAAAGAGGAGTAAACTGGTTGTCCTTGGCACTTAAAGGCCTTATTTGAGGCTTACAAGTGCCTTTGTAAGAAACAAAACGTTTAAAACAATTATTAAACAGCACAAACTCAAAGCACAAGAATTGTAAATAATAAAAATGGCCGCCGTTAAACTCTGTGCAGTGTGCATAGAACACACCTTGTTGTGTGGATTTTGATACAATCTTTAAAATAAAGTACTATTGCTAACAAAAAAAACTCATACTGTTAACACGGGTGGCTTTGGCTCACTTTCAAACTTCAGCTTAAAATTTTTGTGGTTTTAACAATCATAAACATTAAATTTTTTATACCAAAATTTGAGTCTTGAGTTGCTCTTTCATAATAACTATGTTATAATATTACATAGGGCTGAGTTTCAATAATAAACATTAAAAACTGGGTGTGCAAAGTTACCCCCTGGTTGCGGGTTACTTTGTCTCACAGTGTTTTTTCAGTATAAAATGAATGTAATATTATATTTTATTTTTATTAGATACGTGTTAGCAGCGACATATATCTATTGCAAGGGATTACCAATAAAAAAAAAAAATCGACCTGTAGTTAACCAAGGATCATCATTCCAATGGATTGCGCATAATATAGAAATTGTAACGCGTGTATTTCTATAGAGTTTTGCACTGATACGATATATACAATTTTAAAGTGTAATAAATCCCATTTCTTTCTTTAAAACACTGATTTTCCTGTAATATAAACTCAATAGAATCGCTCAATTGACAGGTTTAGACCAACAAATTATGAATGTTAATTTTATCGAGCGCGAAAAGATTTTTCATAAATGGGTTAAAGTCACCCGCGGGGTGCAAAGTCACCCGTATTTACGGTACAGCTTAAAAATCTAGTGTTCCTGATTTTCTATCATTTCGTTGGAGTAATTATGGCTTTTAACATGATACGTCACATTTGAAAGGTCTAAAATTAAATACAAAGTTGAAGTTTGAAAAAAAAAATATTTCGTCATCCCTCTGTTTTTGTCAATTACTGCCCACAAACGGCAAAGCATGGAAGTCGCCGTCTTGCTTTATCTAGTTCCAAATGGCTCCAATGGCTTGCCAGAGTTCGTCTGCATTGTTTGGTTGAAAATCTTGTTAAAAAAGTCATAATGGATGTGACAAAGCTCGATGTCAGCTTGACATTGACGGAAAAGTTTTATTCACACAGCCACAATATAGCTGTATGGGTTTTTTTGTTAGCGATAGTACCTACCCTTCTTGTGAAATAATACTAAATATGAAAATATTTGTATAATCCTAATACAAAAACACAAAAGTATTAAGTTCATATGCTCGTTTGTACTGACCTTTTGATTTCACCGAAAGCATGGTATTATATAAGACTTTGGCCGGAAGTTAACCAGATTTAACTGATAATGCATTAAAAATTTCGGGTGGAGCCCCACCGTGGAGTGCGCAAAAACATTGTCTTCACTTTTACTGTAAAAAACTGCTTCCGTTCGGATTTTTATGGTTGTTAGTTCTTGTTCAAGGAATAAATTTACACAAAGAAATTTGATATTAGCCGCCAGTAATACAGATTCCCATTCTTACGCGAATGGTTTTATTTTTGCATAGATGTCACTCTAAAAAAATATTTAATTTAAATCATTTTTATGTATTAGGTATTTGTCGTAGAAAAACTATAGTATGCAACTAGTTTATAAACTTTTCTAGACACTCATTTAATTAAACACTCGCTTGCAAGCTCACTCGTAACTAAATACCGTCTATAAAACTTGATACATAATATACCAACAATAAAATGGATTATCAGAAAACATATGCGAAAGGGTGGAGAATTTTATAAATCGGTTTTTTGTTCTATGAATAATTTGATTATAATTTTAATAATAATAATAATAATAGTTTGAGCAAATAATCATTTAAATATATTCACTATTTAAGTAGGAGACTAACCAGTATCACTTAAAATATATAGGTTTACCTAATTTAGTTATACAGTTTAAGTTAAAACAATTTATTTGCGCTGATACTTCGGCATATGTTAGAAATACTTCCTAAATAATTGAATGTAAATGCATTTAAAAATTCAAATATGATGTTTATTTAAAGAATTAAAAACCTTTTTATTTCTTTAATGTACCTAAATCCTTTAATTTGGCCTCACTGCACAATTGTCAGTATCTTGTTAAATTTTTCCATAGCAAGTTATAAAAGTTCTAGAAATATAATAGTGGAAACATGCCTTAGTTGATTTTGGTAGACTTGTTAAATTGATTGAGTTCTGTGGGTAGGATCACCATTAAGCAAGAAATTTATTAAATTAGAGAACATCGTAATAACACGGAGATCAATAAATCAGGGATAATTGACCACACCTGATCACATGGACTCCATACCAGGTGGTCAGAAGCAAACATTTTTCAAAAAGAACCACAGTGAAAATAAAAAAAGTTCAAGGCCCTCGACTGCTTTAGTAACTCTAAAGTGGATATAAGGAACGTCTGGAAACCGTTGTTAAACAAATGTGACCTTGGAATTTACACACCTGGATGCTTCAATACGCTTAGTTGGTTAACTTATTCAGTATTAACATCGTAATTAAAAATACTAAGGCAATAAAATTTCAGAAACTTTTATTCAACAAACATTATTATCTATAACCTTTAAATAAACAAACAACTTTATTAAATATGTAGTTTATTTTAGATAAATAATAAAATAAAAATATTTACACTATAATATACAAAATTAAATATATCGGTACCTTAGAATGACAAGGTTCTAGGTGCAGTTGCAATGTTAAGCAAATTTAAGTTACTTAGAACCTTGTCATTCTAAGGTACCGATATATTAAATATTAATATAGAAAATATGTTAATATTTTAATAATATATGAATAAAAACAACACTGTTTTAAAGTTTCACCAATTTATTTAGGTTTTTAATGCTTCTTCAGAATTAGTACATATTTGTGGCGGTATTTATATTAACAAATGGCAGGTAATTTGAGAAAATAAGTGTTGTATAAACATAATACCTAAAGGTATTAATAAAACTTACACAATTTTGGTAAAACTAAGTATTTGGAAAGTCCAATCTAATATAATTTTATAATATTAATAAATATTATTTTTTAGTACTACATAAATATTATTTTTTAGTACTACAAGTACTACAAGTAGGTATACTATACATTCATACAAGTAGGTATACTATATATTCTAAAATAAATTTAGCAAAGGCGAGCTGTTAGTTTCAATTTGGTCATTTAGAACAATATCAGATTTTTTCTTTAGTTTATTAATTTCCAAAGACTCCAGAAGATTTAGTTTGGTACCCTTATTGACTACATGTAATATTTAAAAGTTATCACCAAATTTGTGGTTCCACAGACTCTTAAACGTTCCATTATCAGAAACAGATTATAATTACGAATTAGACCTAATTAAACAAATAGCAGTTAACAACGGCTATGATGCACAACTAATTAACAAAATCTTAAATCACAAAAAATGGCTATTAATAACGTTTTTCCAACATCTAAGATTACCATTAATACATATAATAGCTGTACATATATAGGCACTAATATGAGACATGTATCTAATATAATAGTAATGTAGCATTTAAAACTCAACTCAAACACAACAATCTTAGTAAGTTTATCAAAAACAGCAAAGATAAAACATCAAAATCTTCGAAATCCGGCGTTTACCAACTAACCTGCAGAGACTGTCCGAAAATATATATATAGGCCAAACGGGTAGAAATTTTAATACACGAATTAAAGAACACATATATATATATATATATATATATATATAAACCTTAAACAGGATTCTTCATATGCTAACCATCTGTTTACAAGAGAACCACAAATTTGATTATAACTTTAAAATATTACATGTAGGCAATAAGGGTAACAAACTAAATCTTCTGGAGTCTCTTGGAAATTAATAAACTAAAGAAAAAATCTGATATTGTTCTTAATGACCAAATTGAAACTAACAGCTCGCCTTTGCTAAATTTATTTTAGAATGTATACTTATAGTACTAAAAAATGAAATTCATTAATTTTATAAAATTATATCAGATTGGACGCCATTTGTTAATATAAATACCGCTACTTGATAAAAATATGTACTAATTCTAAAGAAGCTACTGTGTAGCGAAACAATTGTTAATCGTTAAAAACATAAATAAAATAGTGAAACTTTAAAACAGTATTGTTTTTATTCATATACACTGAAAGAAATTTGTTGCTAAAAGTAAATACAAATTTATACTAAAAATTTTATACTAGTGCTTTACACATTTATACTACTGTTTATTATGAATGTATGGTAAATTTTGTAATACATTTATTGTAAAGAAGATATGTTAGATCTAAATAAAAATAAACTTACCCTTACTATAAAATGTAAACTATAAGTGAATTACAGCAAAAAAATATTGCTAGAAACACCATTTATATTGCTAGGGCAGCAATAGGCTGCTAACCAAACGAATATATTTGTTTTAGCAATGTATGTGGTAGTCTATATATGAAACATAAAATATATTTGCCCTAATTATTTTTTTATTTAACTTTAGTATATATTTCTTTCAGTGTATTAATAATATGGAGTTTCATCAAGTAAAGGTCGAAACAATCAACAATTTAATATTTTAAAATTAATTCACTCCAAAATTAAATAAGTATTCATCTAATACAATATTCTGGTTGATTTCATACTTCAAGAGTATGTTTGTTATATTCAAGCTTTTCTTGATTTTAATACTGGTCATTTCAAATTCTCTCTTTCTTATCTTTTTCCTTCACGCCCAATTTTTTTAGGTTTTTTATGATGTTCTATAGAACATCATAACAAACCTAAAAGTAAAATTAAAAGTTTGGACCGCAGATAAAAACTTTTTGATTACAAACTTAATTGTCATACCTACCTTTTTCATACCCAAGCACTGACTGTGGTCTGTGGGTTCAAGTGTTCCGCACCCTCAATATGTTTTTTGAATCGTTGGTAACTAAAAAATCTTAATTCTCAAAAAAGCATCAAATGACCGCGGCTGGCTGGAGCGACTGAAAATTTGAAATACATGTCCACTGGTGATTAATGGCTATTTAGATTCTTTGTTACTATGAAATTAAATTTAAGTTTTAAAGATGGTTTAAACCTTCGTTGGGCAGGAAGACGAAAGTCGTTAGCCTTTTGGATTTCCAATAAAGTTTATTATTATTATTAAATCTTCGATCCTCGATTTTACTATTTCTAAATATTTATTATTTAAACCTAAAGTTAAATTTTATTTTTATTTTTTTTATTGATTGCGCAAATCTACCGCATTTTTTTAAATTTTCTTGCTCTATTTTTTATGGACGGTATTTTTTTTCGTGAGCCTTTTTTATTTAAGTTTATTTAACATACTTAATCACTTTAATGATATTATTATAAAATAATTTTTAGTGTGATTTTCAAGAAATTTCTAGTTTAAATCTTTCAATTGGATCAACATTTTTTAAATATAAAACAATCATAAATAAAGATAATTGCTATTTCATAAATCGTTTTGAAGAATTTGGAATTTACAATGTCTTTGCTAATAGTTGTACTGTGGACGTCCTACGAGATCCTGTAAATATTTATTTTCGTAAGTAAGTTTTATTTTACAATATACAATTTAAATATAATAACACAGACTTTCCCTTTTTGAACTTTATAATCACTAATTAACGATAAGTTATTTGAAATGATATTAAATGGATATCTTTTGTCCAGCAAAATAATAGAAATAAAATATGAACATTTTTAAAATTATAGTACGTGAATTTAAACTCACCGCGCATAAATGCAAAACTCTTTTTGAGCCAAAAAGTTATTATTTAACGTTTATATGTAGTAACATTCTCTTTTAGCAATATTATCTGTGGTTATAATCTATAGTTTAATTTTTTTATTGTATTATGGATTTATGCGAGTATTCCCTTCCCTATTTAGGGAAGAAATTTCAAATGGAAATAATTCTAAAAAACGAATTCAGAGTCTTGACACATTTAGAGGGTGAGTATTAAATTAATTGTGTAAAAAATAATATAAACGTATATATTAATTCTTAAGGATAACAATATTGCTCATGATATTTGCAAATTTTGGAGCTGGAGGTTATTATTTTATTGAACATGCAACTTGGAATGGTTTACATGTAGCTGATTTAATATTTCCGTGGTTTATTTGGATTATGGGTGCATTGATTCCTATAACATTACCATCAAAACTTAGACAGGAAAAGCAAAAAATTATAACTGAAGTATTTTTTGTAAGTTAAAGATAACAAATTGTTCTTTGTTTTTTTTTATTTTGTTTTTAGAGATCTGCAAAACTTTTTTTTCTTGGGATATTCATAGGAGGAGGTGGAAATTTGTATAACCTAAGAATAATGGGAGTTTTACAACGATTTAGCATATCTTACTTTGTAGTAACTATTACACTAATGTACTTTCTTGAAACTAATAATGAAGACTATAATTCGGGAATAAAGGTAAATTAATTTATTTGTTTGTTAATTGTTGTATTAATATTATATTTTTAGTCTGTGTTTAAAGATATTTTAGTTTTATGGAGAGTTTGGTTAATTGCTTTTACAATCTTAGGAATCCATTGTCTATTAGTATTTTTCGTTCATGCAATTGATTGTCCAAGGTAAGGAATACATATTATTAACTGTATATGTTACTATAGTAGCTGTTTTCTGTTATTTTTAAAATGGAGATAAATCGTCGGCTAAGAATTGGTTTGTTCTATCTCCCAAAACCTGAAAAGGGAGAACAAGCCATTTAAAGTTTCATTTATAACTTACTTATGCAGTTTAAAACTTATTGCAATTAAGTTTTATGTAGTTAATTGAACCAATTCATAAATTTCTGCCCCCCCAATTTAATATGTCACCAGCCGCCACTCGCTAGGGATAGTCGATTATAAAATAACCATAGGTTTTAAATATTTAAAACAACTAACAACATAAATACTTAATTAGTTTTTAAGTAAATGACATACTACATGGTAGATAATGGTCTTTAAATCAAATGCACCAGTACAAAACTTTCGCTATCGTCAATGTACAATTGGCGGAGTTCGATTTTGTCTTTCGTGTATGGTGCATCGCATTTTCATCTCTGGGACATTGCTCGATGAAAAGTCTGAAACATAGCTGACTTTGACCCAGCAGGGACAAAATTGAATTCCGGGTATAGAGATACCTGTATTTTTGGACAATATCGCAAGCTTTGACCTTCTAGCGAGGTATTTTGTGATTTGTACAATACATTGAGTGGATGATCCAAGATTTGGAAAATTCACGTGTCTATGGGTGGATGGCTTTGTGAAGCGCATGGACAATAAAACTTGTTGCTGGTCAAAGTGGTTCATTGAAACCGAGACCATTAAGGCCTTAGGCCACCAAGGAAGAAGAAGTACAATTGGCGCAACACAAATATAAACGATGCAGCGCGCTGCTCGGTTGTTTCATTTATGTAACTCTGGCTGTTTCCAGTGGTGGTACAAAGAGTGGGAAGAATATTGAGGATAAAAACATATTACTAACTAAGCGATTCCTACCAGGCTATCAAAGATATCTAACATTTTTAAAGTCAAATTATCCATGAAAAACAAGTGCCAGCCGATTTGCACTTGTACATGATATCTCAATTTTTTCATTCATTTTCATTTTCAATTGTTAATTTTAGTTTCGTGAAAAAACTTTTTATACCAGTATGCCAATAAATCGTTGCATTTGTTTGATAGAATTATATCAGAAAATAAACTTGGCAGCCGGTTACAACTGCAGGCAGGCTCAAAATGTTTAACGGAAAAAAATTATTATTTTCTCTGGAGGCAATAATTAATTAATCAATATTACCAAAATGTTAATTTATTTATTTCTTCTCACTCCCCTCGTTTTTCTCCTCATTATCTTCTACATTTTTATCACCCCCTCTTCTTTCTCGATATGTTCTTCGTCAGTTAATTCTTCTTCTATATCTTTTTCTTCGCTGCAGTCCATGTCCACTAGGGTATCCGCATTTAAATGACAAGAAAAAATCAATAACTAACTAATAACTAGACATGCAACAATACTTAAGACATATTTTGTAAGGTCTTTTATGTTTTTTTCGTAAAATCATCGATTTAAATGATATCGGATGCCAAAATAAATTGGCTTTTTTACTGGGCTATAGTCAACCCTGCCTAATATATTTTAAATATATATATTTTAAACTTTGACCTTCGATCATTTAAATGGATAGTTCTAAAAACGTAAAAGATTATTTTGTATAGCGTAAAATTTCCTACAAAATTTGTCGTGTGTAGTTTCATCTACATTAACAAGCGAGTTATGAAGTTTTTTTTATGTAAAAAACAATGAAATGAAAATTTAAAGTATCATCAGTTAGGTTAAACGACATCGAACAAATTATTGTTTCTTTCAAAATTGTTTTTAAACTGTAAACAAATAAGTTAGATGACACCCCAATAAAAAAAGACAAATTAAAATATTACGAAAAAATCTTAAAAAAACTTTTTTGTAATGCGTAATTTCCCACAAAAATATTTCTTCTATGTATATTGTTGCATGTCTATTAATTAGTGAGTTATGAATATTTTTGTATGTCATTCAAATGTCATTAAGGAAGAGTTAAACGATAAAAAAATCATTTTTTTATTCTTTAAACAAATAGTTTAGTACTAAAAAACTTCTTGGAAAATAACGGATTATTTATATCCCCGAGAAATAACGTCATCGTTTCGAGCATCGTCCAGCAATTGTTTACATTTTTAACGTCGCCTGCACCCTCGAATTAATATATAGCCCCTTAGAAATTGTTAAAAACATTGTTGTACATGTTGTAACCGGCTAGCAATAAAGCACACGTCTTAAAATAATTATATTTTGTAATTACCAAATGGCAGCATGGTATTTATACGTTCAAAATTGTTTGCTTTATATTTATTTAAAAAATAAATCTACCTGCTTTAACCAGTCCTAAAATAGCTTGTTTTTGTATACCCTCCCAGCCTGGTCCGAATAGTTTTTTTATATAAAAAAATTTATGCTGCTATAAATAGTTTTTTTTAACTAAATATGTGTTATCCATATATACAGGGTGTTTCATAATATATGCGCAGGACTTCAGGATGTGATAGCTCATCCAAAAAGATGAAAAAAGTCGCTATTAACTTACCCTCTAAAATGCCAAATTTTCGAGATACAGGGTGTTGAAATTTTAGAAAAAAAATCGTTTTTTTCGATTATCTCTGGAACCGTTTGTCGTACAAAAAACAGCTTTTGTAAGCATTTTCTACTCATAATAAGCTATGTTTTGTGCCAGAAAAAAAATTTTTTTACTCATAATTGGTGGAGATTTTGAAGGGGTAGCGGGTGTTTTTCTCCTCAACTTCAACGCCCCTAAAAAAAATACGGTTTTGAGAGGCCCATTTGAACCGCCAATGTTTTCTACACAAAAAAGGTACTATTGGTCATAAGCTCTAAAGTTGACCGTTTTCGAGAAAAATCAACTTTTATGGTCAATTTTTTGAACAAATTTTTTTATTACTAATTAAATAAAATTTATTTTAACGTTAGAAAAAGTAACAAAACCAAACAATAATTGCAAAATTAAAAAAAAAATAAAAAATGATTTTTTACACAAATGCCTACACCTTTACGGTTTGGAGAATTTTGCAAAGACAACTTTTGAATCATTTTTTATTTTGCAATTATGGTTTGGTTTTGTTACTTGTTCTAACGTTAAAATAAATTTTGTTTAATTAGTAAAAAAAAATTATTTTTTTTTAAATTGGCCATGTTTTTAAACATAAAAGTTGATTTTTCCGAAAAAGGTCAACTTTAGAGCTTATGACCAAGAGTACCTTTTTTGTGTAGAAAACATTGGTGGTTCGAATAGGCCTCTCAAAACCGTACATTTTTCAGGGGCGTAGAAGTTGAGGAGAAAAACACCCGCTACCCCTTCAAAATCTCCACCAATTATGAGGAAAAAAATTTTTTCTGGCACAAAACATAGCTTATTTTGGGTAGAAAATGCTTACAAAAGCTGTTTTTTGTACGATAAACGGTTCCGGAGATATTCGAAAAAAACGAATTTTTTTCTAAAATTTCAACACCCTGTATCTCGAAAATTGTGCATTTTAGAGCGTAAGTTAATAGCGACTTTTTTCATCTTTTTGGATGAGTTATCACATCCTGAAGTCCTGCGCATATATTATGAAACACCCTGTATAATTGTATAATTGTATATAAAAAAATAATTGAGATGTCATGTAAAAGTGCAAACCGGCTTGCATTTGTTTTCCATGAATAATTAATTATATTTATGGTTTAATGGCAGCCTGTTTAACTTGTAGTAACTTAAAAATGTTAAGCTGCCAGACTACCAAAGATATCAAACATTTTCAATAGCAGCCTGGTATGAATTATCTTATTTTCAATACATTTTTTAGATAATGCCCTACATACATGTGTTACACATGATGTGTATGTAAGCGCTACAAAGTAGCGGGTTTTTTATTGCTTTTATCTTAGCAAAATGACTCAAATATTTGGTCCTCCAAGAGGCAGCCTGGTATAAGACGTGTAATGTGTAATACCACCTCTTGGTCTAATACTTGATTTGTCACAAACATTTAATAATTAAGTTCGCCAATACAGGGTGTCACCTAATCCTCATCCTTTGGAAGGATGATAGTACACGCCAAAACAAGAAAGTTTTTCCTCCATCATTTTTGCATTAGAGCATATTTTGCGCCAGTTGTCATAGGTCAGGAATAACCAGTTTAATTATAAAAAATTTCGCCATCAATGCCTTAGCCGAGGCTGCAGATCTGAGCTAGGCAGTTAATATGCTTTCTTCGCCGTGTTGTATACGTTTTTTAAAGCATTTAATAATTCTGTACTTACACTAAAATGATCAAATTTGCGAAATTTTGTCAGGTTTGACGTTTGATATATGTTTATTATAGGTTATGTACATGAATTTATTTTACAGGGGTTACATTTTCTTTGCTGATTTCCAGCTAAACGCGATAGATTGAACCACTATTCCTATGTAATTCCAATGTTTTTTCATTATTATACGGCGGTGTATAATAATTTTACTTTTGCACTGCGTACAAATATTAAGCCTTTCTATACTATACTATAGTATATGAGTGTTATAATATGAAAATTTGTATACTCTTAAAAAAAATGTTTTATTATTAATTAGTATTTATTTGTCACACACTGTTTAAAATATCTGTGGTGTAAAAAGTAATCCTAAAATGGTGTCAAAATCCAACACCAAGTGGTGTGAATATAACACCATGAATTATGGTTGAAAATGAACACCAAAACGGTGTTTATCTAAAAATATTTGAGAAGTGCACCTACACAGAAAAAAAAAATAGTTCATTTAACTATATTAATTTAGTTGACCCATAAGTATTTATTTTTTTGTGGATCACGTGATGTTCTTAAATCTCGCCTCTGTTGACTTACATGAAGAATATATAAGCTCATGTTGTCCTTTGCTTTGGTGTGACACTACAAGTTGTTCGATACTAGACCTTAAATAGGTGGAAACAGCTGTCAATACTTGAAGTATTTTAAGTTAGTGGAACGAACTAAAAACATTATCTCTAGCGAGTTGAAGGTTCCATTTTCTGGAATAATACCACTGGTAATGTACTAGTAATGCGTCAAGGAACTTCCTGTTTCCTTTTTTTTTCCTTTTTTCTGTGTAGTATGATTTAATTTGACCACAAACACATAATATTTAACACTGAAAAGGAGTTCAATTTACACCAGGTAAAATTTATTTTAATACTGTGTGAAAGTTAAATTTACACCATTTGAGTATTTGAATTTACACCATTTTAGTATTTAAATTAACACCGGACCAACGAACCCTATTTAACACCATTTTGGTTTGTATCGATATAGACCAAATATGGTGTTAATTTGGTGTTAAAATGGTCATGAAATTTTGAACAGTGCAGGCATTAATTATCAACTCTTATTTTTATAATTATAATATAACAAGTGGTATAATTATAATTTCAATACAAAAATATAATTATCATCGATGATATTTTTGTATTGAAACCGAATAATAATTATTAACCATACCACGAGTTACATTTAGCGAAAAAATATAAATTTTAGGATACACCTAATTGTCAGTTTGACATTCAAAATTAAAATGTTTTTTCTTTAAAACAGAACATTTTAATTTTAAATGTCAAGCTGACAATTAGGTGTATCCTAAAATTAATATTTTTAAAAAATATAAAAAGACTTGCCCTAATTTTTTTATCGTTTACACCACTTCACCGATCTTTTAGAGTTTTAGAATTCATTATTTTTATCATATAGGTAAGAAACACATGATTTACCTAAATGTCAAATCAAGAAAAGCGTTAAAATCCTTAGTACACAAAGGTAATAAAAAATATTAACGCTGTGATATGTTATACTGGGATTTAATTGGTGCTTATATTTATGACTTGTATTGCCAATTCAACAAATTAGGAATTAGAAATAAAATACTTGTTATTTTTTAAACAAATGTTAATAAGTCACTTTGGTATTATTTTTATTACTCGTTTATTTTATGGGTGTACTACGAGGTTGGGTCAATAAGTCCTTACAAAATCAAAGATATGGCCCTAGTAGTAGCAAAACAAGTTTGTCCCTGATCCGTGCAATCTGTCAGTACACTGCTGTTAAAGTTTTATCCATATTTATTGCGTGGTGTTCTTTTTACATTCAATCTAAGCAAACAATTTTTAATATTTACGGACAATATAAAAAAAGAGTTTTCTGCAATTATAAAAGACTATGTTGAAATATAAGAATGAATCAACCCAAAAATAATGTGTTTTTCTAATGTTTTATAAGGATTTAATGACCTACCCTTTTATTATGAGCTTAATTCCATTTTAGTGGTTATTTTGGACCTGGTGGTCTTCATAATTATGGAAATTTCACTGGTTGTGTTGGAGGAGCGACTGGGTATCTGGATAGATCGATTTTTGGATGTAATCATGTTTACCAAAACCCTACAATTCACAATGTATTTAAAACAGATATACCATTTGATCCTGAGGGTTTAATCGGTATGTAATTGGTACAAAATGAATCGATGGATACTACATATTTGTTTTATTTTAGGATGTTTAACAACAATTTTTCACGTTTTTATTGGTGTCCAGGCTGGTTGTATATATTCAAATTTTAAAAATGACCGCAACGCAATTTGGAAAATATTAACAAGGTGGCTATTATGGGCAATTGTTACTGGGCTAATAGGAGGCTTTTTATGTGGATTTTCTAAAGATAAAGGAATAATTCCTGTTAATAAAAACCTATGGTAAGATAATTTTGAGGGTGATCAATTAATTAACTTTGCTTTTTGTAGGTCCCTATCGTTCGTATTGGTAACTTCATGTAATGCATTTGTTGTTTTGTCATTTTTATATTTTTTAATTGATCATAAAAATTGGTGGTCTGGAAAACCGTTTCTTTTTGCTGGAATGAATGCTATTGTTCTTTATGCTGGACATGAGTTAACGGATGGGCATTTTCCAGTAAGGATGCTCTACAATGATCCTGGAGGCTATTTTACCAGAAATACACACTTTGGAGCATTGTTAAGTGACGTTTGGGGAGCTGTTATATGGCTGTTTATATCGTATGTTCTTTATAGAAAAAAAATCTTTATATCGCTTTAAATTATAATTTTTTTTATACAAGTTTTTTATTTTTATTAAAAATTCTTATTAGGGTGAAGTAATCTATAGGTTAACAAAAGAAATTCTGCAAAAATTGGGTTCATTACGTTGATGGGAAATAGGGAAAAAAATTTAATGACCATTATTAATAACATAAATACAACTACGTCGAAGAAATAAATTTTTAGAATTTTGCTTAATAATTCTTAATTTTATTTAAAATGTTTAGGCAACTGTTTTTTTAATTACATTTTTAATTTTTTTCCAATGTTTACTTATAGTTTCAAGTATATACTGGCTCTTCGTTTTTAGTTACTATTTTACTATATTCGTCTATAAGTTTAATACCACTTTCTAAATCGGTTTTATATTGTTCAATGTCCTTTCAAGTTTGCAGATTTTTACTAAAAAAGTTTGTAGGAAGACGAAGCCAAAAAAAATGTATGGTCCTTTTAAAAATAAAATCGCATTTTTTTATTTTATTATTACTATTTAACCGTTTATAGCTTTTTTCTAGAACTTTTATGTCAGAGCCTGCTCAAAAAGTTGGAATTTTTATAAAACATTTATAATAATAAGTATACCGCGGAACTTTTCCAGCGATGACGTCAAAATGTTTAAAAAAGAACTTTACTGCCGATTTATTACAAGTATTCTATGCAACCCATTATACATTTTAAGATGTGTTTAATGATCCTCCACCGATGATCGGGGTAGGCAGCAGGTATAAAATATTTAGAACGAGGCAAAAGTCCAAAAACTAATAAAGTCTATTATATTTTTGGATTTAATTTATAAACACGAATATATTTCTTTTGTGAAGGTAAAAGAGAGGTAAAGGAGAGGGATGTTTGCAAATGATGGGAAATTTTGCTGTGTTGAAAGAAACGGGTCCGGGTACTAAAATATTTACAATATAATTAAGGGTTCAGTCCCCACAAATATTATACAATTAATTAGATTTTCTTCGTTACTAGTTTTAATAATGTAGAAACAAATGTTACCTAAATCAGGGTCCATCCAAATCACCCGCCAAACTAAATATGTACAGGTAATAATAATTATTATAATAAATAGGTATAATATTTCGCTCTTAAGTCAAAACCTGCTATGGGAAACATGCAAATTTTAGAGTAGCGAGCAGTTTTGTTATTATTGATTATAAAATGTATTTTACTTATTTTTCCTGGAAGTATATCCATAATTCCTAGCTATTTGCTAAATTTATAATTCAATAGCAAATTCGGTGCTAGTTAACAGTTTTCCATATAACAGATTATAATCTGTGCAACACCAAAAATCAAACCGCACCGGACTATTTTTTTCTGAAAATATAACCCTCGCTGGGTTTGTAAAAGTTAGCTCGATTTATTGTTTTGTGGCCGTTTGTATTTTCTAGCTTCATATACCCCAATTTAGACTTATCGATTTATATCGTCAAGATTTTTTGTAGAAATTTAGTTACTGAACAAATAAAACCATTTTGTGAACAACCTATATCCGAAAACCCAATTTTTGGGACCAAATATTCGAAAAAAATTTTTTTTTTCAATTTTTTCGATAATATTTAAAATTTTTTGCTACTTCTTTTAGCAAAAATGTTGTAAAGTATACTAAAAGAAGTAATTTATAAAATACGCACACAAAACTGAACTTTAAGTTTACTTATTTGCTGGAAAACAATTTTTAAACAAGATTCTCCAAAATATTCATCTTTTCATACCCAACACCAATCTTTTTGCCGAAATCTTTGGAAAATCTGTAGGAAAAAATTGAATATATAAAATAAAATTGTAGAAAAGTACAGAGAGTTTGATCAAAACATTGAGTAATCTGATTCATTGCTGGAGAATTCCATACCTTCCTCTTCTCCTTTATTTTCTTGTTCTTCATTTTCATTTTTTGATTCATCACTGGAGAATTCGGATTTATAGGTCTAAATTGGGGTATATGAAGCTCGAAAATACGAACGGCCATAAAAAAAATTCGATCTAACTTTTACTAACCCAGCGAGGGTTTCGCTATTGGATAGGTATATTTTCGTAAGTAATATCATAAGGGCATTTAATTTTTCCGAAAAGAATCGAAAAAACACGTTGCTAAGTAATATTTAAACAAAAAGCATGAGTGCTGGTGGCAACAAAAATCCGAGTCGAAGAGGAGGATTTTTGCACCTGCACGAATGCATTTTGTTAAAAAATATTACTTAGCATTGTGTTTTTTTCGATTTTTTTTCACAGGAAAAATTAGATGCCCGAATGGTATTTGACAAGACTATTTCATGAGTAACAGTTAACAATTAAAATATAAATTGCAATTTTTGGTGACAACAGCTGTCAAGTTTTGCCGCGGGTAAACTCGAAAAAACTGCTGACAGGTGCTGTCACACAGTTTTTTCACCTAGAAACCATTTGTAATTCAAAATTGCGCGTTTGTGATTGGTGGAAATTAAGACGAGGGAAATAGTCAGAAAAAAATGGTCCGGTGCGGTTTGATTTCGATGACCCGAAAATTGTCGCACAGTGTTATATATAATATCCTAAATAAATATTCTTAATCATAATTGAATAGAAATCATTTACCATATTATTAACATATGTGGTGGCGTGCACACAGGCTAGGTAGATTAACTTTACGATGTGTGGCACATTCACTGGTTCCATTAATTTAAAATCAAAGTGGACTGTATTTAACTTGCTTTTATTGAGTAAACTTATAAACTTTGCCTTTTTGCTGTAACATTTCAACGGCTTTGCTTTTCGGCTTCTGTGTACTCATGGCCGACTCTGGCTCGTGTTGTTAAAAATGTACAGGAAGCGCCCGCTCTCTTTATTTTTGGTGGGGGCCGATCTCCGGTTTAATTAAAGCGGGAAATTCGCGCGTTCATGCCGCCGCCGTGGAATTGTTACAAACAATTACAAAAAAAATAGTTAAAATTGTATAATAAAAAAAAATAACATTCTCAAATATAGAAAATTTAAGGTACTTTAAGGTAAGTCCTTTGAATTTGGCACATTATTGTCTATTTCAATGGGTAAGATACAAACTCTGTTCATTGCTCGCTTCAGAATTCCGCTGCTGGTCTTTAAAGACAACACTCGAACAATGCCGTCTTTGCCTGGATGTATGTTGACAATACGGGCAAGTCTCCATTGTTGAGGAGGTAAATTTTCTTCTTGAATTATTACCAAAGCTCCAAGTAATTCTGCAGGCTGCCTTTGGAACCGCCATTTTGAGCGCTGCTGAAGGTGGTGCAAATAATCTCTTTGCCAATGCTTCCAAAATTGCTGAATAAGAACTTGAATATGCCTGAATCTTGAAACATAGCATTTTGGTGGTTCGACGATAGGAGTTTGAGGTAAGGCTGTCATAGCCTCACCAATGATGAAGTGACCGGGAGTTAAGGCTTCATAGTCGTTGGCGTCGCAGCTTAATGGTATTATCGGTCTGGAGTTTAGTATGGCCTCTATCTGGACTATCAATGTATTAAACTCTTCGTAAGTAAAAGACAGATTAGCAGTTACCCTATGCAAGTGGTGTTTTACCGACTTCACAGCCGCCTCCCATAATCCACCGAAATTAGGAGATCTTGGAGGGATAAAATGCCATTTAAAATTATTGTTCGTTGCGTATCGAGTAAGTTTTGGATCAGAAAATATTTTTTGAAATTCCGCTTCGGCGCCTACGAAATTTTTTCCGTTATCTGAATATATATCAGTGCAACAACCGCGTCTGGACGCAAATCGGCTTAACGCACTTATGAAAGCATCCGTAGACAGTTCGGTAACGAGTTCGAGATGCACAGCTTTGCTAGCTAGACAAACGAAAACACACACGTACGATTTGATTAATTTTCGGTTTCGTAATTTTCCGTCTTTTATATAAAAGTGACCGCAATAGTCAACTCCTACTGTAGAAAAAGTTCGGGATGGCTTTACTCGGTTTCCGGGTAACTGACCCATTAAAGGGTTAAAAATAATTGGCTTTGCCTTGAAACAAACTACGCATTTTCTCAAAATGGCTTTAACCGCCTCACCTCCGCTTATTGGCCAGAAAGTCTGTCGAACGTGAGATAAAGTAGCCTTGTTTCCTGAATGCAAATGCCGTTCATGTTCGTAAATTATAACAAGTCGGGTAAAGGAATGCGCTTTTGGTAACAATATAGGGTGTTTCGTTTGAAAAGTTAAATTTGAGTTTTTTAAACGTCCGCCGACGCGAAGGATTCCGTCATTTTCAAGAAAAGGATCTAGATTTAAAATTTTACTACTTCTCGCAAGATTTCCTTTTCGTTTTAATGCATTGATTTCCGGGTAAAAACTGTCTTTCTGTACCGAACGCACTAATGCTAGTTTGCTGCTGGTCAATTCATCGACCGTTAAGTTAGAAATGTTACGTGAGTTACCTCTTTTTTTTGCAAGACAATTTTGTACAAATCTAAAACAGTATGCGCTTACTCTGACTAAAGTTTGCAATTTAGAAAACCTATCAAATATATCAAATTTTTCTTTTTCAGTGCAAATCAAAATTAAATCCTTTGCGTTTAAATCAGGTATGTTGGAGGTTTTACTAGCATATTTTGAAATATGATTTATTTCGGGCCACTCGTGATTGTCTTTAGACAAAAAGTCAGGTCCATTAAACCATAATCTTGATTTTACTAATTCATTAGGGTTAAGTCCGCGAGATATTAAATCTGCACTATTTTGATCAGACTCAACATGATACCAATTTGCTGTATCGGTTAAACGCTGTATTTCGGCTACGCGGTTACATACAAACACCTTTAAATTCCGTGGTTCGAGCGCTAACCATGACAAAACTATAGTGGAGTCCGTCCAATAATATAGCTTATTTATTTCGATATTTAAAGACTTGATAACTTTGTCTGCTAGTGTAGCCGCCAATACCGCTCCGCATAATTCAAGTCGGGGTAGTGATATAGCCTTAAGGGGGGCTACGCGCGATTTTGCGCATAACAAAGAGCATTTAATGTTACCGAG